AATAGAACCTCGTTAGAACCAGTGTGACTTTAATAGAACCTCCAGTACAGCCCAAACCAACTCAACAGACCCTCGTTAGAACCGATGTAGCCTCATCAGAACCCTGTTGGAAGTGATCTGATCTCAGTAGAACCCCGTTAGAAACACAGTGAAGTCATGAGAACCTGGTTGGTTCTGAAACACGTTAAATCCACCGAAGCTTTGATTTATGACGAGTCTTATTCAGCGGATCCACGTTTCGTTTTGAGAAAAGGTTCAGATGTGGACGAGTGTTTTAGAACATTAAAGTTCTCACCTGTAGGAAGAAGAACACGACTTCATTACATCATCATGTTGACGTTCAGTTTGGTGCGATTACGTGACAAATATTTGAAAACTACAAACGATGTGAGAAAAGTTTTATTGGAGGTTAGAAGCTGAACAGATGCTGCAGCAGCTCAACTCAACGACAGAAGAAGAATCAACACAAAACATGTTGCAGACGTGACTGTTTAAACTACACTCATCAGAACCCTGCAGACTCCGTTACCCAGAACCCCTCTGAGGCGGTCAGCTGATCGCAGAACTCTGTCGTCTCCTGCTGGTCACTGCGCTGAACTGCAGGCAGATTCCATCACCTGTACCAAAAACACACAATGTGAAGATTTTACATTAAATTATTAATTACATTGTTTTTAAAATATACAATAAAATACAGAAAATGGATTCAAGAAATTGTATTTGTAGGTTGCATTTGTATTTTTTTTAAATGTAGGTTAAAAACTCATCATCACTTGGAGTAAAACATTTTTTCTTTTAATTTTATTTTAAAGTTTTATGGGGAAAATTGTTTGATCACGTTTTATATCAATATTTATTTTTTATTTTAGTGACTAAAATAAAGACCTGAATGTTCAGAAACACAGAACTGGTTCTAAAGTTCTGAACTGAAGTTGTTATTTAAACAATTATTTCATATCTTTGGAGGTTTGGACGAAGGAAATTTGTTTCAACTTTTACAGTTTCACCAGCATCAGTAAAGCACATCTATAAAGCACAATAATCAATACAAAACTGAATTAAATAAAGTCTGAATGACTGACAGGTTCATCACATCAGCTGCAATTTGAGGCATTTCATCGATAAATACTAAATAAGAGAACCACAGTTTTAAATATGAGCGTCGAACACGTCACTAAACATTTAGTCGCCTCAAAATAGTTTCATTTGTGCCGGAATGAAGGACCAAAAAGGCTCTTAACTGATTTTATTTCTGTTCTTTTGTTTATTTATCAGATTTTACGACATTTTTAAATTTATTATTAAAATATCTGTTTGTGTTTTTGAACAGATTTTATTTCTGTTTAGCTTTAAAAAAAAATTCAACTACTTTCTTGCAGTTGGTTTGTTGTTCATTTATTTTAATGTGATTTTTGTTTGTTTTACTCAGATTTTAGTTTGTATTTGTTTTAATCAGAATTTTTTCTTTATTTGTATTTATTTTACTTAGATTGTACTATAGTTTGATTTTGTTAGTTCTTTTAATTCATTTTTGTTTTGAAAGTGATTTTATTGTAGATTTCTGTGATTATTTATTTTGTTCAGATTTTATTTTACATTTTTTATTTTAAACGTGATTTTGTTTTAAATTACTGTGATGTATATTATTTTGTGTTGAACATTATTTTACTGGAGCTTACTGTGGTTTATTTTTATTTACGGTTTGTTTGATTGGATTTTATTTTGAATGTGACTCAGTCTGACTGTTTTTTATTTTACTTCCTGTTTTTTGTGTACGTTTTTGTGAAAGGTGATTTTTTTTGTTTTTGTTTGTTTGTTTATGTGTTTTTGTTTGTTTTCGTTTCGGCGGTGATTTTTCTATTTGTTTTTGTTTATTTTCCTTCTGAGCGTGACGTCATAGAGTCCGCCCGGTCGCGCTGACGTCACTCCTCCTCCACCCGTTGCAGCCATGATGGTGGGTCTCTCTTCTCTCCCTCTGGTTTTGTGTCGTTTCTCGGTTTGGTGTCGGCCCGCGGGGCCCGGTGCCGCTCAGCCGGTGGTGCTGTTGTTGTTGACGGCGTTGTTGTTGTGTTCCGGCCGCTGTGTCGGTGAACTAACGGCTCCGTGTGTCTCTGTCTCCGCAGCAGGAAGGGCTGGACGACGGACCCGACTTCCTCTCCGAGGAGGACCGGGGAGTGAGTGCTCTCCGTCTGCCTGTTTACCTGTTCACCTGTCCGCTCACCTGTGTGTCCGTCCACCTGTCCGCCCGCTCACCTGTCTGTCTGTGTGTCTGTCTGGGTTCTGCTCGCGGTTCGGTCCAGCTAAAGCAGCTAGTTAGCCGCTAGTTAGCATTAGCTTGTGTTTTTCCAGCCTTATTAGCCGTCCCTGCTAACGTTAGCTTGGTGCTAGCGGGCAGTTAGCCTGTCAGCTGTGGTCGGACTGGTTCTCCGGGACTGGAACCGGACCCTGGTGCCGGTACAGCCGCGGGGCCGTTAGCTCCACCGGCTAACTGGGAGCTAACGGGGCCAACAGAGGCTGAGCTAGCAGCTAACTAGCCGCGGTGCTGCTGTTTCACATCATTAACGTGCTGCTAATGAGCTGTTTGAGCTGTCACATGACACACACACACACACACACACACACACACACACACACACTGGGATGTTTATTGGTTAATCACTTTCAGTCCAGAGGAAAGTTCAGAGGAAACCAGCTCAGAGTGAGACCTCCCTGCTGACTGTTACTGGTTTAACTGGGAACCACAGCAGCTGTCTGGGTCTCCTCAGGGTTTGACCACTAACAGCTGTTTTACTGTCAGTCAATCTGTCGACTGTTTTACGGATGAATCACTTAATCTAAGCCATTCATTTTCCTTCAATGAAGCAAAAAGGTCATATACTTTAGGTTTATTTAACTCTGACCAGCTCTATGTTTTGATATAAAGCAGCTACGAACCAAACACAGAGTCACATATTTGAGTGTGAAACTGTGGCGTTAAACTGCCAACATGATAGAAATAAACCAGAAAGAAGACTTAATGTTATGAAAGTCAGAGAGGTTTTGCTAAAACCTTTAACAGGTTTGTCAGCAGGGACACGGTGGATGTTTTACAGCTCAGTTAACTCATTTCTGTGGTTGTTCTCTGACTTTAGTAGCAGTTTTAAATTCTCTGTAATGCAGCTGAACTCTTGGTGCAGCCGTTGTCTTTACCTCATGTCTATTTAGTCAGACAACGTGATAAAAACCAGTCGTTTATTGAGGCGACTGCTAGTTAACGTGTCTGAGTGAGTTCCATCCTGCTGTCTGACAACAGAACCTTCTGGAGATGAGAGCAGATTTATTGTGAGTCCAGCTGATATTAAAATGCAGTTAATGAGCACAGAGAGCAGGAAAGAAGCCACTCGATGGAAACCTGCTGTGGTCTGACATCAAACTATCCACATTCTGGTTCTGGGATCATTTAAAGCTCTCACACACTTTAGACATCTTTGACTCTGAACACAGCTGGACTCTGCTGCAGCCGCCGTTGATTCAAAGAGTCGCTCTGGCAGCAGCCGACCAGAGATTAGAGCCAAAAGCTACTGATGTTAAAACACAGTGATCGTGTACAGGAAGAACATCTGTCACAATGAACTGAAGAACTTTAGAAAAACAATTAAAAAACATCCTCATGAACCTTTTAAATGTAATTTCTGTAATGTTGCAGTGGCTTGTAGTTGTTTAGTCGACCCAGATAAACATTAAATGAATCACTAACTAGTTTTCTGATCTCTCAATCCATGAGAATAGTTTTTTAAGAAGACACTAATTTAAACTGTTCTTCTGAAATGTAAATATTCAAGGTTTGACATTTATTTTCAAAGAAGCTTGTAAATAATTTTAAGAATTACCGTCTCATGTGAGGATTCTGCAGAACTTTTGTCTTCGTTTTAAGACATTAACTCCTAAACTGAGGCGACTTAAAGGACAAATAATGCGTCTTTAAGAGTTAATTATTTACGTGAAGCTCCGCTGCTGGTTGTTCTGCTGCTTTCAATCAAACATAATTAATTATTTTTGTCTTTTTTAATTTTTTTTTTTAAAATAAAATTAGAAAATGTCACAAGGCGACAATATTTTGTGTTGTTAGGATGGTTCCTTTATTGATCCTTTTACAGGAAATTACTTGTTACAGCAGCTACATTTAAAAACAAAAAACACACAGACAACCCGGCAAGACACCCGACGCTGAAGGCACACATAAAATATAAAACTAAATATACAATAGCAAATAAAAGTAAAAATAAATGGGTACCCAGTGAGCACATGTTAGACTGATGGAAGCAGATGTAGAACAAATAACTCTGAAGTTAATCAGCCACTGTTCTGGAATCAGTAACTTGGTTGGCGTCGTCTTTTAATAATCGTCTAAATTCTGTGATTTCAGCTTCTTAAATGTGAATATTTTCTGGTTTCTTTTCTCCTCTGACAGTAAACTGGATGTCCACCTCGGTTTGGTTTGTTGCTCTCTGACCTGCAGCTGGTTACTGATGACTTGTACTCCAGGAATAATGTAAATATTACTTCCAAACACTGGAAAACCTAAACAGTTCCAGTTTACTGTGATGAAGATTCACATCCGAGAAGCTAAAACGAAAAATCACTCAAAATGATCAATGAATGAGCAAAATCGTTCCAGATTGATCTTCAGGTTGTATTTCTTTTATTTTGTTTACCTGGATGAATGTAAATCAGGTCAGGCTCGTGTGTTTCATGTTTCTGATGTTGCACACAGAAACCAACCCGATCAGTCAGACTGACGTTTGCAGCTTTTTTTCCACTCTGATGAATAATTAACAGAAAGAGCTGAAGACCTGAAGCTTCTCTGGACTGAAACCTTCCTATTTGCTGTGTTTAACATGTGATTTTTGCAACACGTCTGACAATGATGCACGCGGACGTGTCGGTGTCGGTCCGTGTGCGCTGATCGCTGCATGCACCGGTGCATTGTGGAATGTGTGTTGTGTGTTGTTCTGCTGCAGCCGCGGGCGGTGAACGTGGATCTGCAGACGGACGCCACGCTGCAGGTCGACATCTCTGACGCCCTCAGCGAGAGAGACAAGGTCAAGTTCACCGTCCACACCAAGGTGAGGCTCGGAACCAGGACCGGAACCCAACTGAGTTCAGAATCAGAATCCTTTAATGTCATTATACCAAAAAAAGTACAATGAAATTGGGTGCAGTCCCATTCAGTGCAAAGAGCAACTATAAATTAACAAACTGTGCCAGATAAAAACAAGACGTTTGTAGAGCCTGTAGGTGTATATAATAAAAAAACAGTGACAGTAGTTAATAATGGATATAAAAATGTGAGTATTTACAACAGCAGTGAGGAACGGAGGCACCAGAGAAACGCTGGTGGTAGATTACACCTGAGTACATGTGACATACTGCAAACTGAGAGAATACTTGTTGTTCAGGCAGCCAGACGGAGCTAAAGTGACTCAAAAAATAACCAAAGTGACCTAAAATACGTCCAACAAGATGAAGAAATATAAAAAAAAAAAACCAACTTGATTTTTGTACAAATTGATTCAAAGCTTGTCAGGAATGATTCAAAATCTGCCTAAAATGGCAAAATCAGCCCAAAGTGGTGTAAAATCTGTCTAAAATGATCCAAATCATATCTAAAAACCTTAAAACTAGTCTCACATTATTTATAAATTGTGCAAAATTACTTAAAATTTGTCCAGAAAGAGTCAGACTCAGGTTTGCAGACAGACCGAAGAAGGAAAAGAGGAACCAAAACCAATGAAAGTGTTTCTCGTGTCTCGATGAGTTCTACTTGTTTTTCCCCTGAACAACTCTGATTTGAAAGATTTGTCCAGAAGTAGTTCACATTTGTCCAGAAAAAAATGAAAGCTTATTAAAAATGAGAAAAAAATCCCTAATTACTTGAACTTTGTCCAAAATAATTAGAAATGTGTCTAGAATTATGAAAACATCTTTCGAATCGTCCAGATTGACTCACACTCAACCTTGAAGAGCTTTGAGCTGCTCAACTCCGTGAAGGAAGCAGATGATCGTGGTTCTCCTCCCAGTAAGTTTTTACATTTATAAATGGATCATGATGTTCTTTCTGCCTCCACAGAGCACGCTCCCAAACTTCAAGCAGAACGAGTTCTCGGTGGTCCGACAGCATGAAGAGTTCATCTGGCTGCACGACTCGTTCGTCGAAAACGAAGAATACGCAGGATACATCGTAAGAGCACCAACGCACCGACCGGAGTGCAGAGAAACCACAGGACTGTTTAATAATCCACGGAGCTTCAGTGTGTGACTGTTTGTTGTTGTTGTTGTTTAGATCCCTCCGGCTCCTCCCAGACCAGACTTTGATGCGTCCAGAGAGAAGCTCCAGAAGCTGGGGGAGGGGGAGGGATCCATGACCAAGGAGGAGTTCACCAAGATGAAGCAGGAGCTGGAGGCGTGAGTCCACAACCACACAAACAAACAGGCTAACAAACAAACAAACAAACAAACAAACAGACACCTGAGTGGCTGTGTGTCGTCCACAGAGAGTACCTGGCCATCTTTAAGAAGACCGTCGCCATGCACGAGGTGTTTCTGTGTCGCGTCGCCGCTCATCCCGTCCTCAGGAAGGACCTCAACTTCCACGTCTTCCTGGAGTACAACCAGGACGTAAGTATCGGCGCAGAAAACACCAGGGCTGAAGAAACGCAGGAAAATATCCACCGGATCAAACACCGTGATCGAAAACTACAACTGAACGTCCAAAACGAGTCGAAACTTGCCCAGAGTGATTAAAGGCAGTCTGAATAACCTAAAATGCCGAAAGTGACTCATATTCAAATTGGCAGACCTTTTATATGCACAAAAACCTGCCGTGTAAAAGACTAAGGGGAAGAAGAAACCAAAAGGTAGCACCTCAGGTAAAATAAATGTCCAAAATGACTCAAAAACTGTCCAAAATCACCCCCCAAAAATATCCAAAGTTACTCAGAATATCTTGAAACTTGTACAGAATTATTTAAAAAAAAATGTCCAAACTCACAAAGAACATCCAAGACGACATTGAGTTTGTCCAAAATGACATAAAAATGTTAGAAATTACTTGAAATTTGTCCAAAATGTCTTAAAGGTTGTACAGAGTTATTCAAAAAATGTCAAAAATTAGTTAATTTTGCCTAAATTAACTCAAAATTATTTAAAACTCATCCACAGTGATGTAGACCTCAATTCAGAACAACTCAAAACGTATCCAAAATGACTAAAAATGATCAAAATAAATCAAAAGTGTGTTCAAAAATGAGGAAAATTGTTCAAAACTACTTGAAATTTGTCTAGAATGACTGAAACGTCTCCACAGTGATTCAGACTTTGAGCCCAAACAACTCAAAACTTGTCCAGAATGATGAAACAGAATCTGATTGAATCACACGAGACCTTTAGTGCTTTTGTCTGTGTTTTAATAAGGAGACAGTTTGCTGCACGGTTCACATCTCTGGTTTACTAAATACGTTGCATGACGGTTGTGTCCCTACTTAGAATTTATGTTTCATGTTCCAACAAAGGACTCAGTAGATGCTCTTCACTCTGTAAAACTTCTGCAGACAGTGTTTAAATTCAGCACAATAGACCAGATTTGTCCCAAATGCCTCCTCTCCTGGAGTCCGACCTCCATCTGCTGCAGCCACATCAGAAACAACATAATTGTGCTCCTGAACGTCACACATTTCGTTGCGTCTGATTTGCTGCTCCGATGAACGCAGCCTCTGAGACGTCTCGCTCTGCTGCTGCTTCCTGAACCCGAACCTGCAAACTGTGCAAACATCAGCTGTTGACTCAAGAGCTGGACGTCCATTAAACACTGAGGAGCAGGAGTTTGCTCTAGTGTCGGTTTATTAACACTTCAAACACAAACAGCGGTTACCTGCAAACACACAACCTGCTGACTGAACTGGTGAATCTGTGGCGCCGCAGAGAATCGTCTGAGTGGTGACAGACGATGTTATGGTCTCTGACGGTTGAGCCAGAATGAAGCAATGAGAGCTTGTGGTTGTGAACCTGCTTCCTGTTGGGTCCGTGTTGTAACGTTTGATCTGTGACCTTCCAGCTAAGCGTACGAGGGAAGAACAAGAAGGAGAAACTGGAAGACTTCTTCAAGAATGTGGTGAAGTCGGCCGATGGCGTCCTGGTGGCCGGAGTCAAGGTGACGAAAAGCCCCGAGTTCAGAGCTTCCAGATGAGATTCATCGTCTCGTATCCTCACCAACCTTCTGTGTGTGTTTCAGGACGTGGACGATTTCTTCGAGCATGAGAAGACGTTCCTGTTAGAATATCACAACAGAGTCAAAGACGCCTCGGCCAAGTCCGACAGAATGATCCGCTCGCACAAAAGTAAGAGGAAACACACAGGTTTTAATTTTGAAGGATGTTTTCCAGGCAGGAAGTATCTAATGGAAGCTGCATGATCCAGGTGCATGATGGGAAATGTTCTGTTTGTGGGATAAAAGTCAGGAAACCGACACTTGAGCTGCTCAGACCAGAACGGTCCAGTTTTAATTCAAAACAACACCTGATTAACGAAGAAACCTCAATCTTCATTAAAATGTGACGTAGTATTTCTGTTACCTGCGTTTCAGTGAGAAAAGTTTAGAAAAACAGAAGTTGAGCTGCTTTTAAAAAAAAAAAAGTTTGTAGTTTTTTATTTGCACTTTTGTCTCAGAAAACAGTGAAACGTTGCACTGCTGCTGGAGAGAAGAACGGTTTTCACTTGGATGAATAGGAAAGATGCTTTTACAAGTTCTCCAGCTCATAGTTTACTGTTTGGAAACAAGTCCTTATATGAACATGTTAAAGTTAATTTGTGTTCATTCACAGCACCTTAGATACAGGTTACCTATAACTGTTTAACATTATGAAAGCATACATCTCTCCAAAATAGGATTTAAGGCAAAGAAAGTGTATTTGTGTAGCACATTTCATACACACAAGCATGTCAGAGGGTTTCATAGTGCAATTAAATGTAAAACGTTTAAATTCAAAGAAATAAAAAAGACGCACCTTTAGAAAGAGTAAAGGAGGGATTACTGTCGGCGCCGTTGTGTCAGAAACCAAATAATTTCCTCGTAGCCTCGCAGCTTTCAGCAACACAAAACCATCAATGCCACTTAGGAAGATCCTGCTGGTAGCATTAGCAACGTGGCTACTCCCACCAGTGGGTTTAGAGTGTAAAATACCTGCTCCAGACGCTGTAATCGCTGTTTCATGTTTATATCTGTTGTTGTGTTTGTTTAGACGCTGCTGACGACATCAACAGAATCGCGTCGTCTCTGTACACATTAGGAACGCAGGACTCCACAGACCTCTGCAAGTACGGACAAATGCGTTTCCTAAAACTCCTCTGAATGTTTCCTGTTTTGTTTTTTTTTGTGCATAAATGTAGTGCGATTGAAATTCAACAAAATGTCTCGTTTGTCTTCTGTTCAAGGTTCTTCCTCAAAGTGTCGGAGCTGTTTGAGAAGACGAGGGTACGTACGTCTTCAGATCGAGCTCTGAGTTCTGCAGGTGTTCTGGAGGATCCATCTGCTCTCATCATGCTCTGAGAAAAGTTCTACATCAGCAGCCTTCCAGGATTAATCCGTTATTTTTAGTGGCAGAAGGAACAAACCACCTGTAAACACCCCCACGTTTTCACTACTTTGAACAGTGACAAAGACTCTCAACAAACCAGGAAGAGACGCAAAGTGAACACAAACAGATACTATTTCAGCGCAAAGAGAGATAAAACTACCTCCTAGACACGCAAACAGATTGACAGTGGATGCAAAATGGCTGCAAAGAGCCACAAAACAGTTAAAAAAATACGTGCAAGATGAACTAACACACGTGAAATGACCCAAAAAAGATGCAAAATTAACACAAGCAAATGTAAACCCAGTGCAGAGCCAAAACGGTAACAAAGACACAAACAGAGCAGAGAGAGACACAAATCGAAGACTTGGGTCCACCAGGGTTCTCTTTGGTAGAACTCAGACCTCTGGCCTGCAGTCCTCTTTGTGTAGTTGTTTTCTTCACACTCTGCTGATGCTCTTTTGTTGTTTCACAGAAAATTGAAGCTCGAGTCGCAGCAGATGAAGACCTGAAGTTGGCCGATCTGCTGAAATATTACCTGAGAGAGTCGCAGGCTGCAAAGGTCTGACACCTAAACACCCGTTAAGGTCTGGAGCGAATCAACTGGTTCCGTTAAGTATTAACTGTGTGATGCTTCACCTCTCAGGACCTGCTGTACCGGAGGAGTCGGGCTCTGGTCGACTACGAGAACGCCAACAAGGCTCTGGACAAAGCTCGAGCCAAAAACAGAGACGTCCTGCAGGCCGAGACCAGCCAGCAGCTCTGCTGCCACAAGTTCGAGAAGATCTCCGAGTCGGCCAAGCAGGGTCAGTGTTTGATTAGGTCCCCGATGTTTGAGTGGAGCAGTATCAGGAAATTATAGACTATAGAAAGTGTTCGCCCCTCTGGAAGGTTTCCTCTTTACTGCTTTTCAACATTGAGTCGTGGTCCGTTTGTTTTGACAAGAATTTACAAAAAAATCGACTCTTCATGTCACAATGAAAACAGATTTCTACAAAATAATGTCAATTATTTGCAAATACAAAACGTAAAATAAGTGACTGTACAAGTATTAACCTTTGTAGCAGCTCCATCATTGATCCTGTTGATTGATCCTCCATCAGCCTGAATATCTGGATGCAGTTTCACCTCATTCTGATGAAACTGTTCAGACTGTGTCAGGTTCCACAGGGATCATGAGTGAACAGAACTTTTCAAGTCCAGACACTAATTCTCAGTTAGACTGAGGTCTGGCCACCAACCTGCTTTACATCATGATGCTGCCACCACCGTACTTTACAGTGGGAATTTTGTTTTTGTGATGATGTGCAGAGTTGGGTGTCTGCAAAATATAACATCTAGTCTGATGGATAAAAAGCTCCGTTTTGGTCTCCTCAGACCAGAGAACCTTCTTCCAGGTGACTTCAAAGTCTCCACATGTCTTCTGGTAAACTCTAGTCCAGATTTAATCTGAGCTTTTTCCAACAGAGTCTTTCTCTTTGTCTCCCATAAAGCTTTGACTGGTGAAGAACAGACAACAGTTTCTTCCATTGGAAATCTGTTTTCACATTAACATGAAAGAGTTCTTTTTTTTTTTGCTAATTCTTGTAAAAAAAGCCAAGTTAAATTGAGCATGATTCCACATTGCAAAGCAATGAAAGGGGAAATCTTTGAAGAGGCATGAATACGTTTCATTTCTGTTAAACTGCTGGGCCTGTATGATGGATGGGCTTCTTATGTTTATATCTAACTGTGGGTTCTCCTCTGAACACAGAACTCATAGACTTCAAGACGAGACGAGTGGCAGCGTTCAGGAAGAACCTGGTGGAGCTGGCAGAGCTGGAGCTGAAACACGCCAAGGTAGGAACCTCCACTGTTGAGCTGCTCAGAGAAAATCCTCTTAGGTCATGTTACAGTCAGATTAGAAGATCAGAGTCAGGACAAACCTTTTCAGCCTCGATTACCTCCAGGCTGTCTGATCGACATGTTGTTTCTCAAACAGCAGCAGGAAAAGCAGCTGTAGCGTCATCATGTCTCTGCATGATTTAACTTCGTCTAAATCAGGTTTTTGGTGTTTGATAAAGAAGCCAGAGTTGATTAATTCATAATCATCATGTTCCTTCATTGAGGTTCATGTTTCAACATAAAGTCCTGCAGCTCTGTGGAACCAGAACTACATGAAGATGGATAGAGAACTCAGAGATGTCTTCTGTCAGCACGACTCATTTAGAACGAAGGAAACCAGAGAAAGAGACGCTTTTTTGATTATTTATTTTTCAAAAATGTCATAAACTTTCGGTCAGTTTTTCACAGATGTTACCAACACTGGAAAAACAAACGCTCCCCACACTATAGATATTTAACGACTTCTTAATACAAAGAAACAAAACAAATGTATGTAAATATAAAGCCATAACTTTTTTAATCACCTGAAAATATCTTAAATCATATGCATCACCTGTGTCTCTGACTCTGCCCTCTCTCACTTGTGAATTCATCACTTGTGTCTCTGACTCCGCCCTCTTTCACCTGTATATACATCACCTGTGTCTCTGACTCCGCCCTCTCTCACCTGTATATCCATCACCTGTGTCT